CGTCGCTTAAATTTGGAAACAGATTTTCTTTTCAGTCATTATTTCTTTTTGTTTATATAAAACTGCAAAGTTTTAAAAACTGAAAACATCCCAAAGCATGATCTGTAGCAACTTGCCAAAAGTATCACTCCAACTTAACTGTGTTTGTTTTCATACATACACATGTTACATCTAACCTGAAGCAGTCAAACAACACTTTACCAAGGATTTACTCTAAATAATTAGTTTCTATTGGCAATTATTTTGACATCCTGTATATAGGTCTGAAAGAAGTTGTCCCAAAAAACAAGGAGTCACACCCACATTTCGTAACACGAGTTCAAAATATCTAAAGAGTGTTTTTAGACATCACGACTGAGCAGGAATGGCATTTATTACATTTTTGCCTGTGAAATATCGGATTCTATCAACTTGATAAAACTTCTATCTTTCAAACTGTGACAAATATCAAAAGTGATATTTTCACACTTTTTGGTATTGACCGATCATAATGGTATCTTCCATTCGCTGCATTCAAAGTCAACGATTTTTTTGCTCAGATTCAAATTGTCCGACGGTAGAATAAGTGGTTGTTATGGTAAATGTTTGGTACACAAACTTAAGTATTTACATAAATATACAATTAATAACATTTTCATAAGCAATCACACCAGATAATAGCAAAAAACGTTGGAATTGCGTCGAGTATCCCATTCAAAATGGCGCACAGCCTTGTTGTTCAGCGTGACGTCATTAGAATATGGCGCTAATTATTACGCTTCTGATTCCCGCCCTTTTTTAATGCATTACATTTTTCATGTTTTATGCTTTAAAATGTAATAAATAGAAAATTTAATAGTGTCTTAAGTAATAACAAATATATTTCACTTGTGTGGCTAATATTTTGATTTGTTTCACTCGTGCTGCGCACTCGTGTAAAAATATCAAAATATTAGCCACACTCGTGAAATATATTTGTTATTACTGAAGACACCATTAAATATCCTCTATATACTCCTACATACCCAGGGCGTCGATGATCCAGAAGTACTGACAGTCGCGGTCGTGGTACTCGGTCGTTCTCAGGGCATGAGTAACACCCTCTACACTGTCTACGATCGGACAGGCAAAGTCGTAGGTCGGGTACACCCTGTATCACACCATCAAAACATGTACAACGAGAGTAAATCTATGGCACAAGTATATGTGGGGACCGCATGCCATGTAGCCTACCTTTAGACTCTTTTTANATAAGCAAAGTCGGTTGGTGATGCAGGTGAAGAAGAAGTTATGTTCTCAACAATATCAGGTCTCACATAAATAATATCCCCAATCTCCAAAGTTTTCAATGTGGTAAAATGGACCTTTAGCATTGACTGATGACAACAAAAATCTAATAAGGCATGAAAACTGATTTAACAATTAACACTATATATACATGTAAGCTTACTACAAGCATTTATGCACAGACAAAGTGATTACTACAAACCTTCGAAACTAAGTTTGGGGTGTAAAAACAAATAAAGGGCCTGAACAAAGTTGACATATATAGAACGTTTCCAAAAAGAATGGTTAGTATTTAAATATTCAACATTTTCAACCAAACTGCAATGAAAATAGACAAGATTCTACTTTGTAACGTACTACATGTATTTGCCCCATAAATAAGCCCCACTCACAAATAAGCCCCCTCCCCACTTTGACAAATGTCCTTGAAACAGGATGGGTGCCTGCAATTAAGTCCCCTTCCTAATGTTTTTCTCTCTTAAAAAAAATGCTTACTTGTATTTGGTTCCTGTTTTGACGTGGGGCTCGGTTTTACACCTGAAGAAGGTTGGGTCCCTCATACAGCCATTGTCCGACTGCATTTCTATCATTCCTCGTATACAATATGTCTTACCGACCGTTGACCCCTTCTTCATCTCTTCCCACATCTTCAAGTTCTTCTCCACACCTGTGTGTAAAATATAGAAAATATAGCAACTGTCATCTCCACACCTGTGTGTTAAACATAGAAAATGAATCGTTACATCTTCCTTCTTTTAAATCTTTCTTCTGTATCATCAGCGTGACTTCACGTGTTTGTGATTTCTCCATCTTAGAGTCACAATATGTTTACCAGTACAGAGTCACACATTACAGTGTTAATTTGTTATCGTCAGTTTTGTAGTCATTTCCTGTGTTGGCTAGTGTTTCTCAGACATCATTCACTTATCAAATGTCAACAGCTAGAGTGTTCACAATTATATTGTTTTCCAATTTTTGAAAAACTACAAATATGTTTTTCTTTTTTAAACAAAAAGTGTTATATGACAAATTTTCCAGATGTCAATTGTTTTGAAATTATTCTTTATATTTACGTTCAATTTTGTCATTAGTAATGAAATTTCACATACTTTCTGCTTAAATCGTAAATATAAAGAACAATTCTTTCTTGAAATTGTTGATGTTGAAAGGTATTATTAGAAGCCAACTTTTAAGCAAGTAGGAAAAATAGACTCGTTTTAGAACTATGTAAATTAATGAGTCAAAAATGGAAATTTTGTCATTAGTAATGAAAATGTTACAAACGATGGTGATATAATTTTATAGTAATTGTGTTATTTAAATGCTCTATGGCCAATTGTATTACCGCACCTTTAACACCCACACAGGTGTCAGGCAATGGCGTCCCATTTGGTCATAAAATGAATTCTGAAACTAACTGTTCCTGATTTAAGCTTCCAATATCCATACATTTTTTGATATGTCTTGTTTTTAAATTCCAAGCAGGGGCCAACGCTAATGTTAAATCTCTATAGGCGTTGACCCTGCCTTTTGGACTTATACAGCTGATGGACAAATGTTTACATTATCAGTATTCAACTTAATGAACCATGATGATTTCTTAAGAAAAGAAAAGGTTTTAAATTACCTTTAATATGTTTTAAAATTAAATGTAATTGATAGATAATAAACTTTCTAAAGAAGTTTCTAGCAGTGTTAACACAGTCGTGTAACTGTCCCTCCCTTATCTATAGCAGTGTAAACAGTCGTGTAGCTGTCCCTCCCTTGTCTATAGCAGTGTTAACA